GGCCTTTCCACTTGTCTCTTTGGTTGGGGTAGCGACGGGTCTCGGGTGAGGTGGTGTCAAGGTCTTGGATGTCGGGGCGGCTGCCCTGGTGGTGATAGCGCGGTGCTCATGGGCAGAGCCCGTGGCTTGATGCTGCCCGGTGACCATGGCTGTGTGGGCGGCATGGTGGCAGGGGTGTGGCGTTCGGTGGCGGTGAGTGGTTGCTGGGGTGAAAACCTGTTCTGTCGTTGAACGGACCGGCGGCGGCGTAGCGCGTTACCTTCTTGAAGGCGTCGTCGCGGCTCTCATCGGCTATCGTGTCGCTCCAGGGGAAACTCTGACCCCCGGGTCGGGCGGTGGCGGTGCGTTGGTGTCGTAACCTTCTTGGAGGTGCCGCCTTGGAGCTCACGGTTCGTCATATGCGGCTTCATCTCTTCGCGGTGGCGTGTTCGCGGTGGAGGTCCCCGATTGCTCTTGTAGTGTTAAGGGTGATGTTGCTGTGCTCAGCGCCTATGTATCTCATCTTGGATGGGTGCGTGTGTTGTCGTGGGATGCGTTTGTACTTGGGCCGTGGTTGATCTTTGCTTTATATATAAAATGGGGCGAAAGCCTTTTTGATAATTAAACTAACAGGGTTTTATATATGGGTGTTATTGATGGAATTACTAATGGAGCGGGGCTTACCCTCCCTGAATTTTTCCTTTCGTCTGACTTTGAAGCAAACCAAGAAAATTGAGGAGTTGACAATTGTCCTTCCATTTGTTTCATATTTATTACTCCACATAACATTCCTATAAACTAGGTGGTTGGCAATCCAGATTTCTATTTCTAATATATCTGGACCCTAGATAGAAGCATAGTTTGCTGAAGAGCTTGCCTTTAAAGAAACTAAGAAACTATCAGATGTAGCCCTTAGCTTGCCCATCTTTGACGGAATCATAGTTTGCTGAAGACTCGCCCCTAGCACTATTTTCCAAACGTTGTTAATAGGCTTTCTTGTACTAGTGGCACTTCATAATTTCTTGAAGACTGTGGAGGCTTTGTGAAACAAAGAGTCATAGAACCGCGTCAACTAGCACACATATTGGCGAGCACAAGTACCTGATCGTACGCGAATCAACTTGTGGTTGGATGGTTAAAAGGATTGTGGTATCTTCAGCCCACCATGGTTCAAGTCCTGGTGCTCGCATTTATTCCTGGATTTATATCAGCAT